CCCTAAACCCTAAACCCTAAACCCTAAACCCTAAACCCTAAACCCTAAACCCTAAACTACAAACAGCCTAAGCCACCGTTCAGGGCCCGCGTCCGCGGCACCTTGCGCCTCACCACCTCGACCTTTCCCTCCGTGACGACTGCCGCGCCCCCGAAGCGGGCCGCAGATGAAGAGCAGGCAGCGAAAAACGCCTATTGAAGCCTCAAACCCTAAACCCTAAACCCGAAACCCCAAACCCTAAACCCTAAACCCTAAACCCCAAACCCTGGTGCTTTATAGGGTTAGTCAAGGGAGGGTCTTGGAGGTCTCATCCCCACTTCAGGGCGTTGGAGGGCGCAGGGGTTGAAGTTTAATTAGTGCGCTTGGGATTCAGGACTTTGGAGGTCTTAGGGTTCATTGTCTAGGAGTCTAGGGGGAACCATGTAACCCTAAGTCCGAGCTACACCCCACGCCCTTCGAGGAGTAGAGGGCAGGGGTTTCGGACACTGGGTTTAGGGAGTTATACCCTAAACCCTGAGCCCTCAACACTAAACATATGAACCATGAGATGGAGAAAGTTCACAATGTAGGTTTGTTTCTGGATGTCGGGTCAGCCCCCCCCCCCCCCCCGCCCTCCACCTGAATTTCACAGGCACGGCTGCAGCTCCTGTCGGAGATGCGCCTTGAAGTTGAGCGCGAAGTTGCCCAGCACTTAGCCTTTGTTTGGGGCCTAGGGCTTCATTCGTAGGGTTTAGGGTTTTGGGGTTTAGGGCTTAGGGTTTTTAGGGTGTAGGGTTCAGGGTTCAGGTTTCAGGAGTGTAGGGTTGGGCCTCCGCCGGGTCTTTCAGGTTTCTAGTGGTTGCGGTCGAAGGGCACCAGGGAACCTCGTGGCGTTGAACCTTTCATTAGCTCTGACACCTTAAGCCCTAAACCCTAGACCCAAAAACCCAAAACCCTGAACTCGAAGCTGTTTTTGGCCCGAAAACACGCAACTCAGCTTTCATGAGTACGTGATGCCCAGTACGCAATGCCCCTTTTTTTGATAAATGGGCTTGCCTTCTAAGGCAAATCACAGAAACAAAGCACTTGATTTCAACGGATCTTGGAAACCCTTCAAAACCCCCTAGCCCTAAACCCTAAACCCTAAACCCTAAAACCTAAACCCTAAACCCTAAACCCTAAACCCTAAATCCTAAACCCTAAACCCTAAACCCTAAACCCTAAACCCTAAACCCTAAACCCTAAACCCTAAACCCTAAACCCTAAACCCTAAACTATATACCCTATACCCTAAACCCTAAACCCCGACCCCTGACCCCTGACCCCTGACCCCTGACCCCTAAACCCCAAGCCCGAAACCCTAAACCCGAAGCCCTTTCCAGGCAGCCCAGCGCGCCCGAGCCTACGAAGAAGCCCTGGAGGCAGACAATGGCTATGCCATTGACGCTCTACACGATCCACGTCTATGTATGTTGGGTTTAGGGTTTAGGGTTTAGGGTTTAGGGTTTAGGGTTTAGGGTTTAGGGTTTAGGGTTTAGGGTTTAGGGTTTAGGGTTTAGGGTTTAGGGTTTAGGGTTTAGGGTCTACGGTTTAGGGTTTAGGGTTCAGGGTTCAGGGTTCAGGGTTCAGGGTTTAGGGTTTAGGGTAGCCCAGTGGCACCTTTTCCCTTTTTTGGGTCAAGGTTCCCTTATAACGTAACCAACCCCAAACAGGGTGCCCTTATTGTACTATGGTTGTTGGGGTACCAAGACTGTATACTTACATATATGTAGAACATGTTTACTTTGTTTATCTGTATGTGATGTATATAATGTCATCGTCATCACCGCCATCATCTTCTTCATCACCGCTGCAATCATATCTTGAGCTCAAGCTATTTATCCCCACCCCAGCATATCACTAGGTGCCGCAAGAGCCCTATGTCCTGGACCCTCAACCCCTGACATCATAGCCTATAGAGTCTAGGGTTTGTGGGTTTAGGGTTTAGGGTTTAGGGTTTAGGGTTTAGGGTTTAGGGTTTAGGGTTTAGGGTTTACAGACGACCGTCTTTTCTTAACACAGCTGTTTGAAATCCTCAAAGTAAAGCTCGACCCCCCAAGCCCGAAACTTAGGGTGCCTTTTTAAATACCCATCATGAGGCGGCACCCTTTAAAGAAGGATCCCCAAAAAATGGAACCCTAATGTAGAGAACTACCCAGATATACCCTGAGGAGGTAGACACAACAATCAAGGCATATAATTTCCATGCTGGAACCCTTGACCCCTCGCCCTCGGGACTACGCCCCCTTCGCCCTCAGGCTGAGCGGGCAAGCTACGAAGCGGAGTGGGTAGCCCAGTAAGTTTAGGACTTAGGGTTCAGGACTCAAGCCTGAATCCTGAATGGTCCGAAAGGTTTGCGGGCCCACGCGGGGGCTTCCGACAAATTAGAGGCCCTTCCTGGGGAGGCCCTTCCAAAAGACAAATGTCTTACTGACCGGCAATAGATTAGGTACCCCAACAGAAACAAAAGTTTAGGGCTTCGGGCCGCAGCATCTTGATAGGGAGTTCGGGCAGTTAGGGTACCCGACTTCTCTAGTTCCCGACCAATATCTGGCACTTGCAGTTCAGTGCCCCGCTCTGCATTCTGGTGGGCCCGTTCCATTATTGATTGGGTTACATTGGCTTATAAAAACCTAGAAGCAAGACCAGGGTATCCCTTTTGACTCCTGAGTTAGTCTTGGACCTAGGAACCCAGAAGCACGAAGTGAGACGCTCAGCTCAGAGAGCACTGGGGTTTCTCAACGCTCAGATCCCAGACGCCCTTCCCGCCACCCATCCCTAAACCCTAGACCAGCTCACAAACAACAGAAGCCCATAGGCTCAGTAGAACGAAACCCTAAACCCCTTCACCCTTCATCCCGAACCCTAAACCCTGAACCCTGAACCCTAAACCCTAAACCCTAATAAACCCGGAACCCTGAACCCTAAACCCTAAACCCTAAACCCTAAACCCACAAACGATCCGTCGAGGTTGGCTCGGAAGTCCCGGGAGGCGGAAGACTACCAGGCCCAGGGTGTGGTCTTTTGAGAGTTGAGGGTTTAGGGTCTAGGGTTTAGGGTTTAGGTTTAGGGTTTAGGGTTTAGGATCTAGGGTTTAGGGTTTAGGATTTAAAAGTTTAGGGTTCAGGGTTTAGGATTGTGAGCTGAGGGTTTAGGTGCCACGGGTCGAGGACTTAGGGTTTCAGGGTTAGGGCTGTTGGGTCGAGGGTTGAAGGGTTGGGAAGGTTTTCGTCCAGGGTCCTGCTTGGAGGTTCGTGGTATTACTTCATCACCAATTCTAAATGTACTCACAACCCACACTTCTATGCCCCCTAGTTACCCTAACATGGGTCATAATTGGGTACCCGAAACCCTAAACCCTAAACCCTAAACCCTAAACCCTAAACCCTAAACCCTAAACCCTAAACCCTAAACCCTAAACCCTAAACCCTAAACCCTAAACCCTAAACCCTAAACCCTAAACCCTAAACCCTAAACCCTAAACCCTAAACCCTAAACCTAAACCCTAAACCCTATGATGCCCTGAACTCTAACAGCTCAGGGCGCAGCCGGAGGATAGCGGGGTTTAGGGTTTAGGGTTTAGGGTTTAGGGTTAGGGTTTAGGGTTTAGGGTTTAGGGTTGGGGGGGGGGGGGATGAAGCTATGGTGGCAGGGGATGAAGCTGCAGCCTCCCCTCTCCGCTCCCCCACAAGAGCCTGCATCGCGGAGCCAAAAGGTTTGGGGTTTAGGGTTTAGGGTTTAGGGTTTAGGGTTAGGGTTGAGGGTTTTGGGTTTAGGATTTAGGGTTTAGGGTTTAGGATCCCTGAACCCTAAGCCTTAAATCCGTAGCTATCTTGGCCCAAGTCTGCTTCCATCTCCGTGCCCTCCTCCTCCCGCTTCACTTCTCGCTTGCGGGCATGCGCACGCCGAATGCAAAGCGGCAGGCCAAGCTCAAGGCACGCTACAACAACCGCGTGGCCAACAAGCGCCGTAACAAAAGGGTAATAAGTTGTTGCATGTTGTGTCCTCGGTTCCCTTAATTTTCGGTCTGTGTGTGTGCGCCCCAGGGTCGTGTAAAGCTTTTTTTTTTAATCTCGAAGCCAGTTCTTCTGTGGGCACAGCGGCTGCTCAAACGCATTATGCCATGTTGCCTTTCTTGTGATATAGTACTTCGTTTTCTTCATTTTTTGTGTGCCACTTTTCGTTCTGATCTCAGGCATTTCGTCGGAAGTGTGTCTGGAAGCCGTCGCCCGCGCGGATTTTGCCTCTTGGATGTACTTGTGGCATGGCTCTTGTCGCGGTTGCTTTAAACCTTGCTTCAGCAGTTTTTCCCTCTTATCCTGGGCGGCGATGCTGCTAGAGGTGTCTCGGCAGCAGTTATCGTCTTGCTGCTGCTCGTTGGTAGTTCTCGGTTCTTGTGTGTTGTGGGGTTGTATGCATGCTGGGTTCGTTTGTCTGTCTCGCTAGGTCCTGCAGGTCCCGAACACCGACCCGGAGGAGGGCAGTGCTTGTTTGTTTTCTGTTTCGTGGGAGCCGCGTTTTGTAAAGGATTTTTGACTTGGACGAGAAGGCATCTCCCTCGAAGCGCCCGCGTCGCGTTGCTTGGCTCTTCAATTGAGGCTTCTTGATTGAATGAGTTCCATGACTGTCGGAGATTGGGGCTTTGACAGGGACGTGTCAAGTTATTCTGTTCATGCTCAGGAGCTCACATGGGACGAGGTGTCTTATCTTGATGTTTTGTTGCTTGGAAGAGGAGGGGAAGGGAGTTTGTTCAGATGATTGTCGTGGTACTTATCCTGCTTCTGAATGTCTTTGGAACTCAGGAATATACGCCGACTTCTGCTGCTGTTCCTCGTCTCGTGCTTTTTTGGGGTCTCGTAATGTTGCGACGGCTGCTGTTGCTCGTGTCACCGTTTTTAGTCGTGGTGTTGTTTTTTTTGGCTCTGTGAAGCAGCAGCTATATTGCATGTTGTGAAGATAAAATTTGGGTGTGGGTCGTTGAGATGTTGGACGTGGTGAAGGAGAAGGTGTCTTCGATGGCCGGGGGTCCTCCCACAACAGCTGTCAAAGATGCGGACAGCATCGCGGCAGAAGGTGCGAACATCTATAGCATGGCACGTGCACAGTTGGCATGCGGCGGCATGCGTCGACCAGTGCGCCTGACCCGTAAATGCTGCAGCTGGGCCCGTGAAGTCCCTGGCCCCAAAGATTCCAAGCACCTGATAAAACTCAAACGGATAGCAGTCCGAGAGCAAAAGCACGTAAAAGCCTTCAATCCGCAATGCCCACTACTCAAACAACAGCCTGCTGGCGAAGGCTCTCCCCTCGTGTCTACGCTGTGGACTTTAATGTTTGTTTGCGGGTTCGGGTACCGTACCATACTGTGCCGTTATAGATAGAGACCCGAGATCTCCAAGCGCTCCGCTTTCCCGAGAGAGGTGATGCTGCCCATCACCTACAAGGCCGCCGGCTCCCTTTGCTTCGTTGGCTTCGTTGTCACTTGTACAAGGAGGATAAGGAGGTTCATGTGTTTCCTCTTGATGCAACTGCTCCGGGCTACTAACATTCCATGAGGAAACGCCGAGTCCCACATTGTAGCAGACAGCAGCAGCTATATTGCATGTTGTGAAGATAAAATTTGGGTGTGGGTCGTTGAGATGTTGGACGTGGTGAAGGAGAAGGTGTCTTCGATGGCCGGGGGTCCTCCCACAACAGCTGTCAAAGATGCGGACAGCATCGCGGCAGAAGGTGCGAACATCTATAGCATGGCACGTGCACAGTTGGCATGCGGCGGCATGCGTCGACCAGTGCGCCTGACCCGTAAATGCTGCAGCTGGGCCCGTGAAGTCCCTGGCCCCAAAGATTCCAAGCACCTGATAAACTCAAACGGATAGCAGTCCGAGAGCAAAAGCACGTAAAAGCCTTCAATCCGCAATGCCCACTAGTCAAACAACAGCCTGCTGGCGAAGGCTCTCCCCTCGTGTGAACCGCTGTGGACTTTAATGTTGTTTGCGGGTTCGGGTACCGTACCATACTGTGCCGTTATAGATAGAGACCCGAGATCTCCAAGCGCTCCGCTTTCCCAAGAGAGGTGATGCCGCCCATCACCTACAAGGCCGCCGGCTCCCTTTGCTTCGTTGGCTTCGTTGTCACTTGTACAAGGAGGATAAGGAGGTTCATGTGTTTCCTCTTGATGCAACTGCTCCGGGCTACTAACATTCCATGAGGAAACGCCGGGTCCCATATTGTAGCAGATAGCAGCAGCTATATTGCATGTTGTGAAGATGAAATTTGGGTGTGGGTCGTTGAGATGTTGGACGTGGTGAAGGAGAAGGTGTCTTCGATGGCCGGGGTCCTCCCACAGCAGCTGTCAAAAATGCGGACAGCATCACGGCAGAAGGTGCGAACATCTATAGCATGGCACGTGCACAGTTGGCATGCGGCGGCATGCGTCGACCAGTGCGCCTGACCCGTAAGTGCTGCAGCTGGGCCCGTGAAGTCCCTGGCCCCAAAGATTCCAAGCACCTGATAAACTCAAACGGATAGCAGTCCGAGAGCAAAAGCACGTAAAAGCCTTCAATCCGCAATGCCCACTAGTCAAACAACAGCCTGCTGGCGAAGGCTTTCCCCTCCTGTCTACGCTGCTCCGCTTTCCCAAGAGGTGATGCCACCCATCACCTACAAGGCCGCCGGCTCCTTGCTGCGATGGTGCTCCGGGTCCTCTTCCTCATCGTGGCGCAGTTCGGTGCCCCTGGTCCTCTTCCTCATCGTGGCGAAGCTTAGTAGAAACACTTTAACGAAGACGAGGCTGTCGCGTGGCACTTAAACAAGTGAGCCCAGTTTAAAAAAACCCTAAATCCCTCAGTCTCTAGCCCTAAACCCGACAGCCATAGAAAGCCCCAAGCCTTAAAACCCTAGCACCTACAACCCTAGCAAAGCCTTACATTCACCTCACAAGCCCCAGAAAGCCCGAAGCCCTAAGCCCTGAAAGCCCATTTGGAGGGTTTTAGGGGTTTGCAGCTTCGTTTTTTGTTTTTCGAGCTTGAGCGGCGTTTAGGTCAGGTGCTTTACATACCGGGCAGGGAGCTACGAAAGTTCGCGCGCCGCCACCTGCGTTGGCTCATCTTTTGCAGCCCTGTGTCACCTTGAAGGTTCCCTAAACCCTAAACTCTTAAACCCTAAACCCTAAGCCCTAAACCCTGAACCCTAAACTCTAAACCCTGAACCCTGCACCGTGAACCTCCAGGAGTCTTAGAGGCTTGATGAAAGCGTAGAATCTGAAGGAGCTGGGGGCTCGGCCCTGGGAGTTTGAACCTATAGCCCACAGCCTCAGCCCCGAGCACCCCAGTGCCACAGGGTTCATTTTTTGGGGGGGTTTAGGGGGCTTAGGGTTTAGGGTTTTGAGGGTTTAGAGGTTAGGGTTTAGGGTTTAGGGTCCACCTAGCCGGCTCCATGGCAAAGCTAATGCGGCCCCACACGACGACCAGCGCTCTTCTAACCCGGCAGAAAACCGAGCCAGGCGCGGGGTTTAGGGGGTTTTTGGGGTTTAAGGGGGTTTAGGGGGTTTGGGGGGTTTGGGTTTAGGGTTCAGGGTTTAGGCAATGGTACCCTTTGTTTAGCCGCTTTCTATTTGGGGATACCTGCTAGGCCAAAGAGCCCCAAACCCTGAACCCTAAACCCAGAAACCCTGAACCCTGACTTCCGAAAACGACAGCCTGCTTCAGGACTGGCGCTGGGCCCTGTGTCGCGCCGCGTGGCTTGCAGAAGCCGCGTAGGGACAAAAGGGTTCAAGAGTTTGGGTACAGGGCTGCTTCAAAGCGCGAAGACATAGGCCCTTAGAAGTCGCAAGGCTCATCAACACGAGGTCCTGAGTCCTAAGTTAGGCGGAACAAAGATCCTAAACCCTAAAATGAGTCCCTCCAACTCCCCATAAATTCCCCTAATTCCTCGATTCCCTATTTGGAGGTTCAGGGCACTTATCACCCCAATCAGAATTGCACTTGCAAGCCCCCCAAATGAGGCAAAATGTAGACTTATAATTGGGGCTTACAAGTGCCCAATGGAGCTCCAAGTAGACCTTAAACCAGTTACCCTAAAGCCCTAAACCGGGAACCCTAAACCCTAAACCCTAAACACTAAACCCTAAGCCACCTGCGGCCCCAGGGGGTGGTGCGCTGCAGCAGGCCGCGCAGAGCATGATGCTGGGCGGAGTTGGTCTGACTTTTCTGGTGAGGATTCAGGGGATCTTGGGTAGTCGGTTGGGTCTAGGGTCTAGGGTCTAGGGTCTAGGGTCTAGGGTCTAGGGTCTAGGGTCTAGGGTCTAGGGTCTAGGGTCTAGGGTCTAGGGTTTAGGGTCTAGGGTCTAGGGTCTAGGGTTTAGGGTTTAGGGTTGAGGGGCCCGGGTTTAGGGTTTAGGGTTTAGGGTTTAGGGTTTAGGGTTTATAAGGTCTAGGGTCGAGTCAACCTGTTTAACTGATTTGACGCATTGACGCACGGTGATCCCTCTGTTGGTGTGGAGTGTTCGGGGTTCAGGGTTTCGGGTTTGGGGTAGTGGCACATTGGCCCAGAGGACACTCAGAGGATTGAGGGCTGCACTGGCGGTTACCTCACCAAGGATCCCAACTCCTGTCATGGTGATTTATGGGCCCTTTGGCGACAAGCCGGCTGCGTGGCCGCAGGGTTTTTGGGGTGATTGGTTGTTTGCTAAAGTTGCCTAGAGTAAGAATATGGGGGGGTTTACGAGAATTGGGTACCCCCTAAAAATGACACCCAAGTAGTAGGCTCCCCATCTAATGGGGACTCCAATAAGGTACCCCTAATATCATAAACCCCCATATAATACAATATACTAGAACGCTGGGTGAAGGCCCGGTGTAAAGGAGTGTAGCCACCTTCAAGTGCTTTTTCTTGTCCAGCCGGTAGCTCGTAACTTTCTTGGGGTTTAGGGTTTAGGGTTTATAGGGTTTAGGATTTAGGGTTTAGGGTTTAGGGTTTCACAAGTCTTTTCCTAGTCTAGTCCCCAAGGCAAATTTTTCAGCTCCCTTTTGGCCTAGTCACGTGGAGCACGTGCAATGCATGGTTCCTCACTGACCCTGGAAAGAATCGCTTAGGAGCTCACGTCTGAACTTGTTTCAAGAGACTCTTATAAGGGACCTTAGGGCTTAGATAGGGGCTATTTAGCAGCTCCTTAGCTATATAGGGGCTATATAAGGTACACAGTATATTTTTTGGGGGGTATTAAGGGTCCCTTCTAGGGGTCACTCCTTATGCCCCTGAAATTCTTCACCGCTTTCACCGAGGCAACTGCGCCTTACGCAGACAGAAAGCTTCGCCCCATGCTCAATCACTGGCGCTGTGCAGGTTTTCCCCTGGTCCTTAAGTAGGGAATGAGGGAACAAGGGCCTATATATACACCCTTCCCCTACTAAGAACCTGTCAGTTTGGGAAGCATGATTTTTGGACTAAGAGACTATGGGCCGGCCGGGTGCAGGGTGTAAGGGTGCAAGGCACATGAGTTCTGTATTGGTTTAGG